CTTAAGACGAACACTCCATGACTACGACGAGGAACTTGCGGCGTTATTGTTTTTTGTTATCGGCATAAATTTATGCCGTGTATTTGGGTAAAATACCGGTATTTTGAACTCAATTCGATTGCGTGGCCTAAAATTACCTTGAAAATGTTGAACTAAACTGTTCTGCTGCATAAAGAATTTGAAATACTGACTTTACATAGCATATTTTTCTTATATCCTCTGCTCTGCATCACGTCATAAAAGTTACCTTACATTACCTTATGTTACATCGCTTCGAGATTCATTCAGCCTGTAAACTTTCGTGCACGTGTTCGCTCCAAAACAATGCATTCTCTCTTCTCCATTACGTCATAAAAGTTACCTTACACTACCTTATGTTACACCTATGAACGCACAAAGACTTGGATACACTCCGTAAGAATTCAGCTCGACGAAAATTCGCCTACATTTGACACACTGAGCGAGGCTAAATATACGCGTTAAAGTTTGAAAGAACGCAGTGTAATAATTTCTTTAAGACTTCTTTCCTTTTGGACTTATTTCGTCCTATTTTTATTATGTAGGGTGATCAAGGACCAAGGGGACAGTTTGGAATGATGGGCCGTAAAGGGGAAAGGGTATTTTGTTGTGTTCATTTACTTTAGCCTAGCTTCCATGTTAATCTTTAATTTTCACTAGCGTTGTCACTTCACTTAGGCTAGCCAATGACTGACAGCAACCAGTTCCCAGTTAACCCATTAATTAAGCCCTAAGAGTGATCAGCATCAAGTTTCTCCTTGTAATACCAATGCTTTGTAAAACAGAGTGGTCATGAGAATTACGGACATGATCACACAAGATAAATTTGCTTGATATTTTATCAACTTCTCCCCACTACTTCTGTAGGAAATGAATAGGGGCAACAAATGAGAATTCAAATTTTGATCTTAGGGTTTAAAGGGTTAATCATCCCACACCCTGCGACTAGAACCTCCTTTTGTCTTCTTGAGTGTGGAGGAGAAAAAGAGGCTCTGCCTGAATCACGTCAAACCTTTGAGGTCGCCGCAGGCCAAACGTCTGGGCTTGTAAATCTTGTTTTCTCTCGCCAAACTGTTTTTTTTCGGTGCGAGCTTTCCGTTTATTGTTATTCACTGGTCATAACCGAGCCCGCTGTAGTAAGCGCGCGGCTATTAGGCTTGTGTTCGAAACTCTGTGTTAGCAACGTGCCGCGCATGCTCAACAAAGATCTTACTCAATTCATGCTTTGTCTTTCTCGAGTATGGCAAAATCGTACAAGCAAAAGAATGGCTCTGAAAGATGAACATCCCATCACACAGTCTTTTGAATAGATTCCCTGTGATTAGCCGTTTTAGATGAAGTCTGTTCCCCATCTCTTTATTTTTGTTGCTGAAAAGGTGCTTTGATTTGTTCATCTGCAGGGGCCCCGAGGCAAGCAGGGATCCAGGGGACCATCAGGGTTACAAGGTGAAAAGGTGATAAGCCAGCGGCTAATACAATAACACGTTTACTCTAAAGAATTATTGGATGAGGCTGAGTTTGATGTGAAGAATTATGCAGATCTAGGAGATTGTTATCCACCAAGGAGGTGAGTGAAAGTCTCTGAGGTTTGCATAATTCTTCACAGCATACGAAAGCCGAATGTAGAAATTTAGGGAGTTTGCCTTCATTGGGACCAGTTGTACTGAGATCAATGTCCGCTGTATAAAACGTTTGCAGCTGAATGTACATTGAAACTATTTTATTTCTCTTTTAAGGGTGAGCAAGGATCTCCAGGACCTAGCGGCGCTTATGGTATTATGGTAAGCTTGTATTCAATTTGAACATTGGTTAAGATAGTAATGATAACTGAACTGAGGAAAGTATAGGATTCACATTTCATTTCCCTTTTTAAATTTAAGTTTGCAGAGAAGTATGTAATAGAAGAATTTTTTTTCAACTCAGTGGGAAAACGGTTACCATCCATTCGATGGTTACTTTCCCACAAGTCGTAGCTGTAGCGAACTCTTACCAAGAACTCTTACCAAGCGCCCACAGGCCGTCCACTGACCACAAGCAGTGATGGCGCTCTTTGTTGTCAAGTCCCTTTAATTGCATCTAAATGCAATGAAGTAAAAAGTGACTTTGAACATTCTGATTGTAGGTGTTCTTACTCTAAACGTTGTGGCTGTTTTCTATGGGTTCATGACCAGTAGGAATAAAATGTGTAGGACTACACCATGAAGCCTATTAAATTACTACGCAAAAAATATTTGCCTGTCCATTGCGAATACATTGAAAGCAATTTGGGCTGCTAAATCTGAATTACATAAAGGGGGTGTGATTTTAAACTACCATCAGAAAAGAATGTTTCAACAGAAGCAACAGACAAGGCTGGAAAAAAGATTTGCTCTCTTTCGCAGATTACCGCGGCAATGAACTTGTTATTTTTGTTATTGTTCGAAAATCTGCCAGCAAAATCGCCGTAAACTTTTGAGCGATAATGCGTAAAAATCCACATGCATATCGCGACATTCTGTGCGATTTGTGATATGTTCAATAGGCAAAACTGGGCCTGTTGCTTGAAAGGAATGTTAATTTATTTAGATTTATTGAATAGTATCTCAAAGAGCCCCTTTAAAAATTTCCATTTTAAGCTAATACTCGGTGCTGACTGTTTTCTTGTTTTGCAGGGTCAACCTGGTAAAACAGGTGCTAGAGGTCCGATGGGCGAACCTGGTCCAAAGGTACATGATTCAATAACTCAGATAACCCGCCTCGCGTTGACGAAAAACTCATTACTTCCTAAATGGTCGCCATCTTGGATTTCACTTGTGGGATTTATTTTAAACCTCTTTGAAATGTTTCTTCAAATTACTCACTAGAACACGCACAAGGAACCCCCATTTCCGCGCTAGTCGATTTTACCTCCATATTGGATGTAACTCTGTTTTGATATGCAAAACAAGACCTAACAGGCAATTGCAAATGGATAGGTAAATCTATGAATGATCATAATCATTTTTTACAATATGGTGCTATGGAAGGGTCACTTGTCATGAATAAAAATATCTTTCATAAAATGCAGGATCCTCTTTATAAAGTGAAATGTGTGTAAAAATGTAATATGTGCGGAATTTGCAATGTACTTACGCATATTGCTTCTTACAAAACAGGGAATGATAGGAGCTCCTGGAACCCCGGGACCACAAGGACCAAAGGTATGAAGCCTTGAGTAAAAACTACTAAAATATGGAGTCAGCGTCACGTGACGGTAGAAATATGTGACATATGTGGAGAAAAGGTTTGATAAAAAGGTGAACAATCAAAACATACGATGCAGTAAAAAATCCACAAGTAAGAACCAAGTTAGGCTAAAATTTGCTAGTTAGTCCCCGTCTTTACAAGAACCTGTTGAGCTTAAAATTTGAAACAGGTTCTTATTTTCTAAAATCAATAAAAACAATCCTGCACACTTGGGCAAAAGGACTGCGAAATTCATGTGGCCTGAGTGTTTCAGTTCTTCTTTCAAGAGTCAATTTTCAGGTAAATACTTATTTGGTATGCAGATTTTATATAATGTAAGGAAGAAGCTGAATACCACTAAGTACTCTGGGCTACAATGTATTTTCTTCGGAAAATGAGAAACTATTTAGGAACCTAAATAGTCTAAATTTGTGCTAATTGCCATTTATGTAAGAACCTGTTTAAGCTGACTTAGTGGGCGAACGGTTGTTTTTACTGTATCGATATTTAAATTGAATAGAGCACTGCTTAGGAGCGGAAGATCTTGTAAGTTCTTCTACTCCGTTATGACTTTACAGTTGCTTGTTTTAACTGTTTCAACAAAACTAACGATTGAACGATTGTAATGTTTCTCTCCGACGATGATCGCTTTTAGTTGAGATCTCTTCGTACCCCTCGAAGTAAATACAGTTATGCGTGGGATGCTCGATAAGCAGAAGTTTCGCGCTGTTTCTCAAGGCTGGCAAATAGTTAGGGCGAGAGAGAGTTATTGATGTTTCTGCTTTTTTTGTTTTTGTTTTAGGGAGCCGTTGGATCGCCTGGACGCCAAGGAATTACAGGCGCGAGAGGGCCACGGGTAAGAGTATAGCAGGGAAACGATATATGAATCATTGGCAATTATATGATTGGTTCCGCCAATGACGCGAATCTTGCGTTGCGATCGGAGTATATTTCTCGCTTTGTCCTGCAAAGAACGGTTTTTTGTTTTGGCCGTAAAACAAATCTTTTATTGACCAAGCTTGTTCGGTTGAGATGGCTGGTTTTGTCTTCCTGTTTATTTTTCTGTTTTGATTTTTAAAACCTTTCTTTGACCTTAACATCGTCTCGGTCCATTAAAACGACGAAAAAGACCTTGGCCAATATCCAGCCATCGTCACCTCAAGCTCGGTCAGTAACGCATATTTTAAAGGATATCTAAAGCACTACACCACCGGTTCCCTATTTTTTCAGTCATTTAATCTATCATATAAATTCTAAATTATGGTCTGTTTTGTGTTTTAAGGGTGACCCTGGTTCCGATGGCCCCGCAGGTGAACCAGGCCCCCAGGTAAGTTATTCTAGCCTGCCGGTGACTTTAAGTTTACTGGCTCATCACTTCTGAGACGTTTTTACGATGGAATGTATGGACTTACGAACAGAGGCAGAAGGTGGTTAAATAGGAAATGTCTATGCAACGAGGGCCTGTTTACATGGATGTGGGGGACCCCAGTTAGGTGAGGTAACCCATTTAGGTGGGGTAACCCGCCTGTCCATTACATATAATCTCTCATATGGTCACCCCACCTAACATGTAAACGCGATCAAATTAATATGAGAGATTGTATGGACAGGCGGGTTACCCCATCTAAGCGGAGATCCATTATCATACATCCGCACGTTGCTGGCAAGAAATTGACTCACAGTTACGTATAGATGTACCTGCAATGACATGACATAAGGTGTGACCCTAAATAAGAAAGGAGTAATCCTTCAATCCACCGGACACGTTTGACTTTTAACGTAAGGTCAGTTCAAGACAGTATAATTGTAACCGCGTATTTTGAATGTCAGCAACTTTCTAGTAGTCCAATTAATTTACAGTTGTGGGCTTAGTTCCTTAGCTTTTGATTGAGCGTGAGGCTGAGATTGACCGTCGTTTATCTTCTGACACTAACTGTACCCCCCTCCCCTAGGGCCTACCAGGTGCTCAAGGACCTCAGGGACTACGTGGAAATCCAGGAAACCCTGTAAGTACTTTGCACTGCACGAAATACTTTTTATGCCACTCGCCTTTGCATCAGGGCGTGAAGTCGTCTTCTACTTTGGGCTGTCTTTGCCTTTAGTCACAAGTGATACGACTTTGTCTAGTGTCTAAGGTAGAGCAAAGTTGTCGTCAAATATGACACAGTTGTGTAAAGGTACCTTTGAAGTGTGTCAAATGTATAATACTTCTGGTTTCACGCCTATGCCGCTTTATCGTGCTTCGAGGCCTCTTGCTATCAAACTGTCACATTTTTGACGCCAATCAAACCTGATCTAAGGCAACCGTGCGTCTCGTTTCATGAATCAGCTCGAAAGGAGGCTCTCTGGGGCTGGGTTCCTGAAAAGCCAATTAGCGCTAATCCAGGATTAAAATTTTGTTCCGTTTTGTATTTTACCTTCCTGCGTACTGCTTAGAGTAAAATTTTGTGTTATCTGCATACATGACATTTATCTGCATACATGATGTTTGATTTTCTGCTTACAGGGTGCACCAGGCCCTGATGGACCACCTGGAGAAAAAGGAGAGACTGTAAGTTCTTCCCAGTTACCGGCTGACAGGGCGCAAAAACCGCAGATTGGCTAGAGGATAATGACGTAAATTGGCTTTTTCGCTTAATTGCGCCTGCGCAAAACCCGAGAAATTGAAAATCGAAAGAAAACATAGCGGCTACGCTAGAGAGATGCGATAAACTCTACAAGACTGCTGTTCGAAGAAGAAAAATTGATCAGATATTGCAAGAAAACTTAGACGACAACATCTTCACTCTTCGGTTGCTAAATGCAAATTGTCTCTATCAAGAATAAACTTTAAATCGAGTCTTTATCAAATTAAAATATATCTAGGGGTGTATTTGTCTGTATTGTTGTTGTTGTTGTTTTTCATAAAACTACATGAAGACTGTTAATATGGACATTCAGCACTTTTTCGTCATTTGGACCTCTAAACTTTCATTTCATGAACGTGATCATCCGTTGCATTGATGTCTTTTGATTGGAGTCATTTGCTTTTTCACAGGGTCCCCCAGGCTCCCAAGGACCCCTCGGACCACAGGGTTACCAGGGTGTTAAGGTACGACATTTCATAACTTTACAACACTCTACTCAGTGGCGGTAGTTGTTTTGAGGCGGAGTTGCTTAAGCAGTCATTTCTGAAGACGTTGTTCTTTGCTTCTCTTTTGTAGGGTGCCACTGGAGCAGAAGGACGAAAAGGGCAGAAGGGAGAATCTGTACGTTCTGTGTCGTTTTTCTTAATTAAGACATTCTTGTGCTCTGTATTATGATGCAGGCTGTAATTATGAGTGATGACTTACGCTAACTCATGTAGGGTATCCTCCCCTAAAGCAGCTGACTATGAAAACGCTACAAGTTTGAATTATACAAGAAGTACGACCAGATCTCTTTAGTGTGATAAATATTCGTTTATAACCGTGGAGGTGCATCTTTCTCTTTACTAACATGTGTGTAAGATAGAAAAGTAATCAAGGGCATGTATCATTAATGTTTTTATCTTCGTCTACAATTTAAACGTGTTGACTTTCATGCTATACTTTACTATAATTTTTCGTCTTCTTTCTTGTGTGTGCTTCCTCTGCGAATATTTTGTGAAAAGTGTTGTTTTTGTTTGACAGGGCGAGAGAGGCCCCGATGGTGCTAAAGGTTTCCCTGGTGCGGCTGGGGATAAGGTAGTTTTAAGACGTAGACAACATTGAAATAAATAACGTTCTTGATAAGTGAAAACTACCTAAATAAGATTAATGATTCCCTATTCATAGAAAAATCCATTGTTTGCACATTCTGTCCTTTTCTTGTCAACTGCAGTTTGGTTACCATGACCTAGGCAGTTAAAATTTCATGGGCCGATAACATTTTCACTAGCTTTACAACGGCCCGTTTTGACACGCCCGATTACATGCTGCTTGCGATAGGACAGTTTGGTGCTTGTAACAGCAAAGTAAAGCAGCAAACAAAAATACAAAGAAGCGTTTTGGTATGGACAAAATTATTGTGATGATTTAAGTATGTAAGTTATTAGTGACTTATTGTAATCTGGGTATGTTTTGTGCAGGGACCGGCTGGCACACCTGGAGAGCGTGGGGTACCTGGAGCGTCAGGAGCTCCGGTAAGTTGATGGGTTTAACAACGCGGTGGCGACCCTGTAAGTTTCAAGATTTGTATGAATTTTCAACACTTTGTCTGCAAGGTCTTGAATATGTCATTACAAAACGTGAAATTAAGAAGTTTCACGTCGTAGTTTTGCATTTGAACGATGGCAAGGACGTGTGTAAAACAATTACAGGAGAAAAAATTCACGGGTACTTTCGGCAGTTTGCTATCAAGAAGAAGGACAAAATTATGCGGATTAAGAGGTCCTAAAATTCATGAGTTGTAATATTTCATCCCTTTTTCTGCATTTTTCATTTTCTGATACAAGGGCGTCATGGGATTACAAGGATCAGCTGGTGCTCCAGGGCCTGTGGGACCAAAGGTAAAATTGAACGTCTATAATGCCTCGTGCTTGTTTTAGATAGATGGGCATTTGTGCCTGAAAAGGAAAACTTCTGTACCGTAAATTCAAATGTTTAAATCAATCTGTTTAGAATTTTTTGCAAGCCTCGCTAGTTAGGCTATCGAATTCCACGTGGATCAACAAATGTTCCTTAACAGTATTGATTTTTTTAATTGTAGATGGGTGTTTCTCTCCTTGTGGGAGGGGAGGAGGCAAGCGTATAAAACACATGCGCAGCTTACCGGTTGTCACTTCTTTTGTTTTCCAAAACACTGGTGAAAAGAACTAGAGAACATAATACTACATGTAGTGTTTGAATCGTGAATGATATTTTCTAGGGTGTGATGGGGACGCAAGGAATTCCTGGCATGTCTGGCGAAAAAGGTGCTAAGGTAGTGATTCATTTTATGAGTTTTCGAAAAAGTGTTCTTTCGAAATCCAAACACCTTGAAGTCGGTCTTAAAAAATCGGCTACGCCTTGTTTTCAAGTCACTTTTCAGTAGTATGGAGCGTTTTCACTCACTTTGCCAGCATCTATGCAAATTTATTGGAACAAAAGGAAGCGTTTGCATAAGAAAAGAGAGTTCAACTCCCACGGGACTGCTTTGGGACACCAACGTGGCCGCCGTTTCATTGTTTTGGGACACCAATATGGCCACCGTGACGTCATGTGCAAACGCTCTATATTGTATGGTTACTATAGTTAACCTCACGTATGTGCCTATGAATGAAAGTCGAAAATGATTTTGACCAAACAAACTTAACTAATGTACCCACAAATGTGCGTACTATAGTATTCAATTCCTCTCTTCAGATGTGCTAAGAAAACTGTTTAACTTGATTTATTTTAAAATAGGGCAGCGTTGGTCGAACAGGAAGACGAGGGCGTCGTGGCCTAAGGGGTGATAAGGTTTGACATTTTTATGACTTATCTTTTTACTTTCAGTTGTCTGTTTCTGAGAATTGAGACAGAACTAGGTACAACTATTTCCTGCTCACACCGTTGTACCAACCTCCCTCCCCCTTGCGTTTTTTCCCGTGACAGAATATTTTGAAGCGATTAACCTTTAATTCCTGACAGTGGCCAAAGGCAAGATACATGTAATAAATAAAATGCCAATTTCAATTTTAAAACTCCTCAGACCCAAATGGTACCTTGTGAAAGTACTGCCAAAGAGGTTTTCTTTGAATGCTAACACCGTAGGATTTCGTGCACAGATTTAAAAGTTACGGTGACAAGTTCTCGTGCCATAACTTGGTCCAGGGATGAAAGGATTAAGTCCTTATTACTTAGCTTACAAGATGATACACTGTATGCAGTCGGACCTCCCGTAAGTGACCACCCAAAATGCGAAGGTTTCGTGGCCGCAGAACAAGCTTTGTGGTGGGGTTCTTCGAGAAGAGTCCCAACACACCTGCTCTTCGAAAGGGAATCATTGCGTACGACTTTTTTCATTTGTGTAGTTTCATTTCGTCACTAACGTTTCCTCTTATACTTTTCTTTTCTTTTGTTTGCAGGGTGTACAAGGTCCTGCTGGCGAGAGAGGAGGTCCAGGCGCTAGGGTTAGTAGTATAATAGAAAGGTTTAAGGAGCAGACGTTCTTGAGGTCACGAACGCAACGATCCTTCGGCACAAAAATGACGAAATCTGCGTGTGTAGTTTTTTTACGTGATGAGCCCCGCGGTAGGATACCTAAACGCTTTTGATTATTGCCAAGTCTTGGCTAAACATTTGAGGAGTTCAAACTTGGAAACTTGGAAACTGCAGTTTTCAACCACAGCTTCACATTTACATAAATAGCAAATTGTCTAGTACAGATTAGCCTGTACTGTGTAATGTTTCCAGGGCTGCCTTAAAATTTCAAGTTGTAGGGCTAATGATACAAGTAGGCGGGGAATCCAGCAGCTAGGGATTTTGTGTGGTCCTATTTTCTTCTGTTTTTCTACAAAAGTAGGCGGGGGTCACGTTCTTAATAGCCGGGGAAAATCCCCGGCCTCCGGCTCTTAATGGCAGCCCTGGGTTTCACGTCGAACGAAAGAAACGTGTTTCGATGTAAACTTTTCGAGAAGGTTATGAAGGTTTTATTAGTGAGTTTTATTTGAGTGGTTTTATTATTGAAATATTTTCGTTGCAGGGGCCAAGAGGAACAAAGGGAAGTGCTGGAGTATCTGGAAAACCCGGAGTACCTGTAAGTTCATTTTAAAAGAGCAGTGTCATGAGAATTTCCTCGAAATTTTCGTCTAAGCTAGACTTACGAAAGTACACTTTATTATTCTCCAGCGGTATGGCTTTGAACGATTTTTTCAGGAAGAAAAAGTCAACCTTCACCAAAATGCCATGCACAGTCTATCTATTGCATTTGTATCTTGACAAAGTGACCGTTTAATAGAGGTGAAGACGATAAAAAAAGGGAAAGGATTTTCGGGACTTAAGAAAGCGAGCGCTTAATTGAGGGTGAACGATTAATGCAGGTCCGCTTAATACTGGTTTGACTGTACGTTATTTTTTACTTATTTTAGGGATTCCAAGGCAATAGTGGCGTCCCCGGAACCCAAGGTCCACCCGTAAGTAACAGTGTGTTTTTTTTGGCCAGTTGCCCTTGAAGGCCTACGTGTTTAGCTGGCTGTTTTTGTTGGGCGACTTGCTTAACAATTGTTCGTTCGCCTATTAAGAGAGTGGTTTTTTGTTGGTAGTAGGATTAAATTCCCTTTCGTTTTACTGGCTGTCATTGGCTATGGTACTGAACAGGGAAAACGGCAAATTATTCTTTGTGGTGTTCATTAATATATCTATTAATCATCAATTTTGTAACTTAAAATGATCTCGTTTTAGGGTCCTCTCGGACCAAAGGGAATTGCTGGACCAATGGGCACCAGAGGATCTTCAGTAAGTTGATAAAAAAGGTTTATCAGCGAAAGTACAAACTGCAAATGGAATAGCAGGAAATAGATGATTGTGTATGTGAGGTGCAAAGGAGAGACGTAAACAAATATTGCGATTGGGAAGAAATACGGCTGATAATCTGTGTGTCCATTTTTGTCTAGTTTTGCACGTGTATTTCTGTAGTGTATGGAACTGTGTAACAATTAAAGGACTGTTCCCTTGTGGTATTTTTGGTTAGTGTAAGCCGTCTCCAAAGGCAAAAGACAGAATCAGTTGATAAATATTTATATTGATTGTCAGTTTTTGCTTTTATTTATGTGTAGGGTCCGCCTGGTGAGTCAGGAGAAGCTGGACCAGATGGAGAGTCTGGACTCCCGGTATTGTCCATTGCACTTGCTGTATTGTAAAGATCAAGTTTATGGGCACAGAATTGAACACTATTTATTTTTTCCTTAGCTAAGAAAATAAACTATAATGTAATTGAAGGACTTAGCAGGCTCAGTGTGCTGGCTTGTCAAAATGTTTTGCATTTCATAATTTTTATTTTTTCCTCTGCATTATCTTGCTTTCCAGGGTGATCCTGGTTTTCAAGGTGCCGAGGGTCCGCCCGGACCACAAGGTCCCGTGGTATGTTATCTAACTACTTTAACATCGAAAGTAAAGGCCTTTTTCCCGAGGTTTAGTATTGTATTTTTTGACTGTTATTAACTATTTAACTTCTAAAAGCGAACAGCTCTTGCTTCTTGCTTCAGTCTTTTTCATAATTGTATGTTTGAGTGCCTTATTGTTTTTAATATAGACATTTTTGTTTGTGTGTAATATTTAACGTAAACTTGAAAAACAAACAAAAAAGTTATTTTTTTTTAGTCATATTTCGACGGTACATTCTTCACCCTCTCGAATTCCTGTCTTCCTCAGAGTCCTTCTATTAAATTGCCGGCAGTGGAGGCCATAAATATTTTCACTGTTTTACTTACTTCTCTTTCTTATCAGTCCTTTTTATTTTTATTATTATTTAATTCTTTGTTTATTTGTTTAGGGTGAAGAAGGTCGAAGGGGAGATGATGGAGCCAAAGGTGCCCAAGGAAGACAGGTTGGTTTTCAACGGGAAGTTTGTAATGGAGGGGTCAATTTGATAAAGTTGTTATTACAAGTGTAAATTACAAGTGTGGCTATTGTTTTTAGACACTAAAACGACGGGCACGTATACATTACACTTGTAAGTTACACTTATGAAAGTGTTATTAAATGGGCCCCTGCTTTGTGCATTAATGCTGTCACCTAAAGAATAGTTTTTCATGTTGCATTGGACTTTCTTTATTCCAATAAAAGGGCCACAAATGAGCAAACTCTCTTTCCTTAAGTTATCTCAGGGTTCGTACAGGTCATGGAAAACCTGGAAAGTCATGGAATTTAAGCATTTCATTTTCCAGGCCTGAAAAATGTGCAAACCTTTGTGTTGTTACTCCGCAGGGTTCGCGAGGAGAGAAGGGCAGTAAAGGCGAGGCTGGAAAGGATGGTGAAAAGGTGAGTACATGTGTGGCTTAAGTTGCTGAAGTATTCGAAAAATTACAATTTTTGTATCTGATAGTTTTTATGGATAAATTCATATTACTCATTAGTTTTCCTATATACTTACAATTGTGAATTTGTTCTGCGTTAATTGCAGGGCCCACCTGGTGACCCTGGCCGAAATGGCAGGGACGGAGAAAATGTAAGTGTTCCACTAAGCTCGCATGGTGTGGTTAAAGTGCTTTTAATTCTATGAGAGTTGGCTAAAATAAAACGTTAATAATAGTCTGAAAGGTTCTCTTGTAAAATGTCAAGAAGGAATTGTATCGTGTGGAAGAACGGTCATAAAAGTTTTTTGTTGTTGTTTTGAATAGCCATATCCAGAAGAATTCCTCCATAATTTCAAAACCAAGAAAAAAAAAATGTCTAGCTATCGCATGCAGGAAAAAAAACAGATTGCTCTTTGCCACACACTCTCAATATATTTTTCTCCAGCCTTTGCCAGGCTTGCAGATAGTAGGATCGTCGCAAAAAAAAAAAACAAGCAGAGCGAAAATAGGAAGTGCGCGATCTGGGAAAGGCCTCGTGCGTTTTTCGCATCACGTTTTACTGCACGAATGCACGTTACTATCTTTGAGAGCTTTTGAGGACTTTTCTTTTCCATTTTTAACAATACTCACGTCTTTTGCTACAGGGACCACGTGGTTTAGACGGAGCAGTTGGTGACCCAGGATCACCCGTGAGTATCACGCCTAGTGTATCACTTTAGAGCGTTGTCACTTACGTGGCCTGTTGCTATGCAAATTTATTGGAACAAGAGGAAGCTTTTACATAAGCAAAAGGTTTAATTCTTAGAGGACTGGCTTGGCACACCAACATGGAACACCAATATGGCGAGGGTGTCGTCATGTGAAAACGCTATGCATTCTCAATGCACTCAATGCAGTGCCGGAACTGTGCTGAGGTTTTTTTTACAGTAGTCGTTTCACGTATATTTTCATTTTTATTTTAGGGATTACAAGGCCCTCGTGGTGAAGCTGGATCTCAAGGGAAGATTGGTATGAGGGTAAGGTTGTCGTCACTTGTTAACCGTTACAAAGGCCAAAGTAAAGATTTCAACAAAAAAGAAGAAGAAAAGAAATTTAAAGCAAATCTCTTTTCGTAAAATCCAAAGTTGTAAATATTAGCATGCAAAACGATACTGAGTTTCGTTTGTTTGACTTACGACCAAAAACTTGATGTGCTTTTAGCTTCACCTTGGTCGCGTGTTTTAAAAACTTTACACATAACTGTTACATTCCGGGCCCGATAGAAAGAAAACATAATTAACTTGTAGCGAACACAAAAGTCAGCCAGATTTTTCATTTGAGTCTTTCCTATAAGGGAGCTTAAGCAACGACGACGACGACGGCGACGGCAACGAGAACTGCTTTTTTGTACATTTCTTTGTTGTCACTGCACGACTACGACGTGAAAATGCCTAATTGCACGTTTTGTAGGGGACGTTAACAAGCGGCGACGAATTTTTCTCTCTCCTTCTGAATTTGAGTACGGTCCCCAAGAAATGAACTCCTGGAAAATTTGCCTACACTTGACATTTTCAGCGAAACGGAATAAACGCGATAAAGTTTGAAGAAACGCGAATATCATTTTAAAAGTGACGTTTTCGCTGCCGTCGCCGTGGTCGATGCTAAATCTCCTTATTGACTCTAGAAATCGTAACCTGCAAATTGGCTGCTACCAAAGAGTATCGTGCATTATCGTGCAGTATCGTTGCTGTCAACGGAAGACTTTTAGCTTGATGGCAGAGTTTTCATCTCAGGTTTGCGGGATATTTTTTCTTAATCACCCAGTCCCTCCCTCAAAAGGAGGATTCTTTTTAGTAGTCTCGAATTTATTATATTTAAATTAATTACTTTGTTATGAGTATATAAACGGAGGCTTCGCTCTTAGCCCTTGCTAAATCTGTATTTTATGAATGGTTACTCCAAAGGATTTTGTCGACAGTTGCAGTTGACAAATCGTCTCAACATAAGTTAATACTTCTTTACACTTTAAAACAGGGTCGCCAAGGGCTGGCTGGACCCACTGGAACACCTGGTGTCCAAGGAGGTCAGGTAAGGTTTCTTGTGCAAAGTGCATAAAATGAACACTGAGTAAAGAGTCATTTTTTATGGGCATGAGCTTCGAGCATAACTTGAATCTTGTTTGGAACTGCGAGCACTCGAGAATAAATCCACTGACTAGCAACGATAATTTCTCTTACCTGTTATCTTTTGCTTTTTATTTGCAATTAAGTTGTGTTATCATTAGAAGAGAATGCTATCATTCAGGCAGCATGGTATAAGAGTCTGAGCGTATGGACGTAGTTCAAACCAGTCACAAAATCATTTAGGTGTTGTACTGAACGTGTGTTCTATAAGGTGATGTTAAACTAAGATCACAGTTATCCACTGCTCCTTCCGACCCCCCGACCCCCTCCCCCGGGGCAACCTTCGTTTTAATCATTCTTTTTGTTTTTTCATTTATATCCATCTATTTTCATTCCCTTTCATTTTTTTCTAGGGTCCTGAGGGCCCAGTAGGATCTGCAGGTCCCTTTGGTGAGAAGGGAAACACTGTAAGTACTAAAGATATTAACTTCTATTTTTTGCATAGTACATAATGTCTTAGCTTGTATGTTAATTGTTCAGTGGCTTTTGCTATAGACCTGAACTTCCTAATATTGATCTTTATTAATAGACTTGTAATATATTGCTCTTCGGAGTTATTCTCGTTAGAAGAGGAAAGAATGTTTGATCTTATTATAATTGCAGGTCATCTTAGTTAATGAAGTGGATTGGTTGTGAAGCCCGTCAGAGGTCTTTGTTATATGGTTTTGTTGGCTTTTTTAGGACTTGACGGTGCAGAACGTTCAATAGCATCCCTGTCATTTTGATCTTATTGACCAATAAAAATGTCGCATTAATTTATTGAATCACAATTTATGAACAGAAAAAAAAGCACTGAAAGGAAGCCCCCAACTAAACTGCCACACCGTTGTTTTATATTCAATGTTTGCCCGCTTTCATAACTAGTCTCCTCCACTAAATAAATTATGATGTCATAAATTGGTAGCAACGTGAAGATGGCTACATTTTTTGGTTTGCAGGGTGCTGAGGGTGAACCCGGCCCAGTTGGTCCTCCAGGAAGACCAGGATCTGATGTGAGCATACTTAAAAAAGATATCCCCGTTTTGTTTTTGTTATCATAAGTTTCTTTTTTTAAAAAACGTTAGGGAGTTCCCCAGTTCCCCGGTGGACTGTCTTCAAATGATCCGAACATCAGCATCCATCCTCTCTTATGTTAACGGAAACGTGAGCATAATAATAATTATTTATAAATTTAATAATGTTTTAATTTCGACCTTGCTCGCCATAGAGCCTCCAGTAGCCCAGGGGTTAGTGCGTCCGGACGAGAACTCAGAGGGTTCCAAAATTCCGAGCTTTCTGGCATAAGAATTCTCCTTCTTCCAAATTATCAAATAATGTTGGGCCTGAAGTGCGCGGGAATTGCTTTTACCACAGTTATAACTTTACTTTGGCCTTTTTAAATCTTACACAGCGAACTTGGTGTACTTCCTGTACTTAATGTACATTTTCCTTAGGCAAAAATGTTACGAAAACTGAACATTACCAAGACAAAGCTCTTTAAAACAATGATGATTGAATATTTCCCCTTCCCCTCCAAAAAAAAAAAAAAACAATGGTGAAGTCCGGCTGGATCATTTTTGAGCCCAGCTGAGCAAAATATATCAGGGTGGGGTGGGGGACCTGTCACTCAGGTACCAACTCCGCTGTGCAAAATTCTTAACACTCTTTGTCCGAGACTAGCTGTTTATTAGCCGGGGATTTAAGCCAATCAGAAAAGATAAATATCTTGAATGAATAATAGCATTGCTATCTCTTGATGCTGCTTCTAATAGTCCAGTTCGCAGCTGTCTTTAATCAGGTATTTGTTTTAATCCCCAGGGAATGCCTGGAGAAGTTGGTCCTCCCGGAGAGGCTGGACCTAAAGGAGAGCAGGTAAAGAAAATGTAGAATACGACGCATGGTCCATGCCTAGTTCGCTAAGTATAGTGTAGTTAACCCTTTCACTGCCAAACGTGGCCAAAGGCAAATTTTGAACAAATTTTGAAATTCATTCTCTAAAATTTTGAGAAATAAAAAGTATCATGTGAAAGTACAGGCAGAGAGCTTTCATTTGAATGGTCACATCATAGGATTTCGTCAGCAGACTCAAAAGTTAGCGTCACCCTACAAAACTCTGTCAAACACTTTGGCAGTGAAAGGGTTAAATGCAAAAAGCTAAATCCGAGACCTTATGTCGCGGATGTCTTTGGTTACAGTTTAGTATCTGTTCGTCATAAGACATTAAAATGCAGCTAATAGAGAGAGAGAAGTCGTTACGTCATGTTGCCATGGTAGCAAAATGTTTGGATCTCAACAAACCGTTGCCCTGCAAATATGGCAGAAAAATAAAAACGAAAAAATTGTCTTGTGTGTCTTTCCTGTGCATGATTGTACTCAGGAACAAAATGGTAGCCCATAACTTTCTTCCATTGTTCAACAATGCAAATAGCCGTCTCTGCCAAGAAAGATTGTTAAGTTCCAGAAATTTTGCTCCCATGGTAACGTGACATCACCCTTCTCCTCTCTATTCTCTTATGGTCTTTCAGGGAGAGGACGGCACATCTGGGATACCTGGACGAGATGGAGCCACAGGACTGCGAGTGAGTTGATATTTCCTCAACGAATACAACGTATATGAAACATTGTAAAAGCACAATGGTTAATGTCCTAAAAAGGAGTGCACAGAAAGTGGGCTGCAAAAATTATCATCCAGTGTATAAAGAAGGCCATGTTGGAGATAGGGTCGCGGTTGTTTTAGAAATGCACGTGAATAAAAGATAAGGACAACTCTCATCGATCGTCGATGGAATATTGTACGTAGTAGTCACCTTCAAACTCTTATCACTCACCTTTTTTGTTAAACTTAAGGGACCTGCTGGGGAACCAGGCACTGTGGGATCACCTGGAGAGCCAGGGCCGAGGGTAAGTATAAGACGTCTGCACTGTGAGTTGTACTATATTGTACTTTATATTTGTAGTTACAAATACAGCTGCCTCTACCTGTCGCGGGGAACGTTTCCGGAGAGAAACGTCTACGTTGTGGCCTGAAAAATTCAATACTGATGACGTAAATCGATGTTCACATAAGTTATCTTCTGGTCATGGGGTTTTAGACCTAAATTTTGTTCGAGTTTTTGTATCCTCTTATCGATTATCGTACAATTTTGAGTTCTGCTACAAGTCAGCAAAAGTAAAAAACCTTATGAAAAGCAAATGTATTCCTAGGAAAAAAGTGTCTCTTGGTGTGGCGCCTTTCACATTTGATCTTAGTTTGTGACCTTTTATCACTTGTTTGTCATTCGTAAACAATAGCTGGAAGAGTGTATCATTACGTCAACCAATCAGAGCTCCTGACCAGATTTTGGCCAGATCTACGTCACCAGTGTAGAATTGTTATGGACCAAAATGGAGATGTCTCTCTCGCGAAACCTCCCACCGACTGGGCTCAAGAGAAGCTGCTGTATTCGCAGGCTAATTTTTACTCGGTTAAAAGGAGCAATGCATTGCACTTTCATCGTAATGGGATCTGTATGGGCGTGTCCCGCTTTTTCTTCTCATCAGTTTGATTGTTAGGTACTTAAGTTCGTGTTACTGTACTGTAGGGTGATGCTGGAGGACGGGGACCACGAGGACCGCCTGGGCCAGCTGGTGAACGGGTAGGTTGCTGTGACATTACTTTAGGAAAACTTTCCTTCTATGGCATAGATTTTCGTTCCCCGTTTTTCTTGCTGTCTTAGCAGCTCTAATAGAGACTGTTATGTCTGACTTCATTTTCAGGGCGCTCCTGGAAAAGATGGTCCCCCAGGCATTTCTGGGTCACCCGGAGAACAGGTTAACTATAACTTATCTCAATACATTTCGTTAATGAATTGAATAAGTTAAGTTAATGATAAACTATAATTATCCCTTGGTCATAATCATTCATCGTAATCACAAGTAAGCATTAAGACCTGAAAAAAGGAAGAAGTTATGTAGCTGGCGCACTCAAAGCTTCGGTTTTCAGAGAATAAAGCCGGAAAACTGGCGCTAAGTGCGCTCGTAATAATGAAAAAAAAAAAAAAAAGCCGGAGATTAGAAACCAGAAAAGTAATAAACGGACGAAAAGAATATGCGTGTTTACTAACTTAACAAATGAACTTCCAACAAAAGCCCTTCTCTGTGGCTAACACGCACAGCAATCACAGTTGGCATTAAACAGCTCGAGTCACTGTGTTTGATGACCTGTTATAGTGTTCGTTGTTTCCTTGTGTTTGTGTCAATGTATTTATGCTATGTTTTATAATGATATGAAGAATAAGTACTGTTTAGCAGTTCGCCATTTGCACACTTCCCATAATACACTTTGTTTGTCCCCAAAATTTTGCATTACCTTGGGTTTTGTTTCTTCTGGGTGTTACATTCTCTCATCCCGAGAGAAATTGAGGACAATGCCTTTAGTGCACACTTTTTTGGGGGAAAAAGGTGCATTGTGTGGGATATGCAAATGGCGGATACTAAAGAATTTTACCAAACCAACCAGAAAAGAGAACTCAATCTCTCGACCCTAGTAAAGGGTAGTCCTTGCTCATAAATAGTGACCTATTATGTCTTATTGGCTATTTTGAATTTCAGGGCCCTGCAGGAGCGAGAGGTGTCAAAGGAGATCGTGGAGAAGCTGGTAGTGCTGTAAGTAAACGGCTGCAGGATCAGCTCAGTCGGTAGATCTCTTGACGGCAGAGCGGGAGGTTGCCGGTTCGATTCCCGGAACCGGAACCATACTAACTGAGAATGAAGGCGCTGTCTTTCCCTAAAAACGGCTAGAACTATGTGTGGCTCGGATGACCAAGTAAAATGGTGGTTCCGTCGTCAGTAGGAGACGCAAAAATATTATCCACAAATAGTACTCTCGCGCCTTATGCAGAAACGTAGGTAACTGAGAGGTTTTAAGTTAGTTCGGGGTAGTCATAAGAAGGTGTTCCACTACATTTTTGCGTTGATCTTTTTCATCTTTTGTTTTTTCACTATCTTTAATGTTATTTGTTCAGGGGCCTCAAGGTGCTCAGGGTGGACAAGGTCCGCCAGGTCAACTTGGATCCAAGGTACAGTTGAGTGATACATATTAAACGCAAGAGCATATCTAGGTGACTTACACACGCTTTGGCGCCAGGACACTGCGAACCAGAAGATAGTGACTTCTCAACGACTAGTTTTCTTTAGAGAGAGAGTTGCTAGTGGTGCTTTTGTTTAGATACATTGGGTTAAAATCTTTCTAGTTCCCTTAATGCAAGGGTGTGAAAATGACAATTCGGGGTACGAAGTCTTTTCATGTATCACATTACTCGCCGACACACGCGTGTTTGCCCTCAAAATCATTAATTGACTAGTGTGCCACTTCTATAATCACTACCTTCGCCATTGCTACTAAATCGAAGTCAGGAAGAAATTATACCCAGACTAAACAATCGGCAGTATTTTTGCATCTTGATGTTTTTTCAAATACGTTTTTGTACCCAGGGACCTCGTGGAGCCAAAGGAGCTACAGGGAGTAGCGGTCTTGATGGTGCAAAAGTAAGCACTTAAATTGTCATTGTTATCAGCCTGTCGAGTGTAATAGTTTTGGATAGTATACAAACAATGTAAGAACGGTCGTTATTGAAAAGGACAAACGTGTTGACAACTACTTTGTAGACAAAACGTAATCTTCATGTTTGTGTAGAGGTGTGTCGTCATATGATGGTTGCCATAGATAGCTACGCCTCCATTCCGATTTTGTTCACCTTATTTTATCTTTTGTATTATGCCCTTGCCTTTATTGTAAACATCGTGCTTCTGTTCTCTTTAAGGGAGAGACTGGAGAAAAGGGACCAGCTGGAGAAGATGGGCCTCCGGGTGCTAATGTAGGATAACAGTACTAAATTATACATTTTTGTTTCCTTGAGAAAAACAATCCTCGCCTTCGTCATTCATACTGATCACAATGTATGGATGGTCAGCGGTCAGAGATAATGATGGCCGCTTTTTTTTTGCGCGGCAGTTTTGAATACTGATTCTCTGAGGAGGGGTTTCTATCTTTAGTTAGTTCTGCTGTTTAATAAGTCACAGACTTGTAGACTCAGTTGATTTGTATGAGGGTTTATAGAGTATTACATGTGACTCAATATTTGGTCATAACTTAGTAAAGAATGATTCAAAATTGTTGATTACAATTCTTGGTTGCTGTTTCAGGGGAAGGATGGTTCACCTGGTGTTTCTGGAATAAAGGGCCAACAGGGCAGAATGGTAAGAAGAATCATGATTTATGCCCCGCGATTATCTTTAAATAAACCGTTTTAAAAATCAACCTTCCAACCTTGCTTTGTCCCTCTCACTATAGGGTCCACCGGGACAACAAGGTCCTCAAGGAGCTGCGGGACCCCAAGGTGATCAGGTATGAATCTCCAGCTCTCTACTACTGGTATAGAAATGCATGTAACTAAAACTGTATATCTTCCCCTTTTCCTCTAAAGATGGAATTAGTCTTATGGCGATCCCGATCATATGAGGAATAGAGCAATTCCCATTCTTACGACCACCTTCTTTCCGCCCAAACTTAACGGAAATACTTTTACAGTAGAAGCTCGGTAACTCTAACTTTGAAGGGAAACGAAAAACTGTTTGTGTTGGCGAGGGGTTCGAGTTATCGGGGTCGATTTGCCATGTTAAAATTGATATTTACTGATTTTTCAGCACTTATTGTATGGTGCAGTGCACATTTAATTTATTTCATCGGAAACGATAACTACTGTAGGCATTTTTAGGATAAAACGTGATTTGTTAGTTTCACCAATCACAACATCAGATTGCTTTAGTGTTTACCACTGTTAATTTTAGTGTTATTAACAATAATTCCTCGAGCCCGAATGGGCTCTGAGTCAATAGGCCATGAGGCCGAAAGCCGAATGGGCTATTGACCCAGAGGCCATTAGGCCTTATACAACAAGAAAAGCCAATAGGATGTCATCCGAGTGGAGTCAAAAGAACGTAACCAGAATTCGAGTTATTGGGGTAAATTACAGTGACTTTTTGATCAAGGAAAAGGAAATTTAGTTCGAACTAGCGGAGAATTCAAGATACCCAGGTTAAAGTTAACCAAGTAAAAAAGACTGGAAAGTGGGGTGAAATCCAAGGGAAATTGGACTTAAATCGAGTCAGCGAAGAGTTCGAGTTATCGGGGTTCTACTGTAGCTTTTTTTGTTTGTTTGCTCTGTAACCTCGTTTATATTTCCATGTTTTCATGGCCTTTAGGAATTCGCATGTTATGGCGAGATCATTTTTCACTCTCACCTAAAAATCTCTTGACGAAATCCTATGATTTCACCATTCAAATGAAACCTCTTGGGTAGAACGTTTGCTTGCCAAAACAAACCTTGTGACTCATTTCTTTTACAGGGCTACCCCGGCATGCAAGGCGGAATGGGTGATCAAGGACCTGCAGGGCCGGTGGTAAGCTTCATTTGTCATTACTTTCTTATGAGAATTCTTGAAGTTTTTCTTGTCTCAACTTACATCTTTTCTGACCCTTTTGATTGCATGACTTGTTGTTATTTTTATTAGGGAGATCTTGGCCCTGCTGGTCGAGATGGACTGGATGGAGCTGCTGGTCTCCCGGTGAGCATTTTGTATACTCTAAACAACGATCATTCACAAGTTGCTTGAAAACTGTTTAGGATCTTTTATTTGAAAAGCAAATTTACTGGTATCTTCTCTGAATATTTAATGAGCCATACGTACCAAGAAACAAGTCAAATGGACAAATAGCCTAAGACAAAGGCACCAGTCTGATTACCGCACTCCCCACGTTGTGAAATGTTTGAGTTTTAAGGTGACTCGACCCAGTTTTTTTGGGGGGGTACCATCCTACTTTGAAGCTCTCTGGTATCCCCACCTTTACTTTTATCGTAAGTGTAACACATAGAATGGATAACATATAGATCAATCTACAATATAACATAAAATTTTTGGCGATCGGAGTAAATGTCACGTGGTTATAATGCCACGCCCCTTTGAGGTCTGAGTCGAAAATCTGCTGTTGCCGGCATTTTTTCGTGAAAATCTCTCGGCCACACATAGTGCGCATTAGTGCCTTGCGCTGAACAGAGTTTCACCAAAATCGTAAAGACCCAATTCGAGAAATTCAGCGGTTTCCAAATTTAGGTCATAATTTATGCGAAAATGATAAGCAAACTTTACACGGATTATATCTAATAAACTATGAGATTCATCTCTTTATTTTGGGCATCGTTATAACAGATAGGTCCTTGCAAGTCAGCAAAACGCTTTAGGGCCTTGTAAATGCGCGCGATTTCGAGCAAAGCAAACATATAGAAATTACAGTTTTCGCTATTTGTTGACGTTTGTCAGCGGTTAAGAGTCCTTCTCACGAAAAAAGCATTTTCTTAAAAAATCGTAGTTTTTTTTCCTTTAAATTTTTTCAGGGCCACAATTGATTAACTAACTACCCGGACTCTGAATTTCATGGTCATTGAAAAACTGTGACATTATCTTCTATAAGCCCAAACTTGAGTAAACATTGAAGATTTTTAGCGTTTTGGCTGAGTTTGTGCTTTGGGAGTTGTCTATTGTTTCTAGCCTGTCATTATACAGCATTCTTGTTCAGCACGCGTGCAATGACCGCGCTTGGCTGACTTCCGAATGCTCACCGAGATATTCCCGTCACGAATTGGTTTAATTATTGGCTTGCATTAAATCTATGAAAAAATAATATTTTTTTAACAGTAAGTAGATTTAGTGTGTAGCACTTCTTGATTTTTTTGCAAAGGCACAAGAAGCGCGAGAATTGATTAAAAATTGTGAGTTAAACCTCTATGTATCACGCGATGGCCTGTCTCACTGTACCAAAATTATCATATCTCGGTGAGCATTCGGAAGTCAGCCAAGCGCGGTCATTGCACGCGTGCTGAACAAGAATGCTGTATAATGACAGACTAGAAACAATAGACAACTCCCAAAGCACAAACTCAGCCAAAACGCTAAAAATCTTCAATTTTTACTCAAGTTTGGGCTTATAGAGGGTAATGTCACAGTTTTTCAATGACCATGAAATTCAGAGTCCGGGTAGTTAGTTAATCAATTGTGGCCCTGAAAAAATTTAAAGGAAAAAAAAACTACGATTTTTTAAGAAAATGCTTTTTTCGTGAGAAGGACTCTTAAACGCTGACAAACGTCAACAAATAGCGAAAACTGTAATTTATATATGTTTGCTTTGCTCGAAATCGCGCGCATTTACAAGGCCCTAAAGCGTTTTGCTGACTTGCAAGGACCCATCTGGTATAACGATGCCCAAAATAAAGAGATGAATCTCATAGTTTATTAGATATAATCCGTGTAAAGTTTGCTTATCATTTTCACATAAATTATGACCTAAATTTGGAAACCGCTGAATTTCTCGAGTTGGGTCTTTACGATTTTGGTGAAACTCTGTTCAGCGCAAGGCACTAATGCGCACTATGTGTGGCCGAGAGATTTTCACGAAAAAATGCCGGCAACAGCAGATTTTCGACTCAGACCTCAAAGGGGCGTGGCATTATAACCACGTGACATTTACTCCGATCGCCAAAAATTTTATGTTATATTGTAGATTGATCTATATGTTATCCATTCTATGTGTTACACTTACGATAAAAGTAAAGGTGGGGATACCAGAGAGCTTCAAAGTAGGATGGTACCCCCCCAAAAAAACTGGGTCGAGTCACCTTAATGCATGCCACCATTAAAGAGACGTTAGTGCACATCACCCGTGTTGAACAATATTTACATATTTATCAGTTTTATTAGAAGCCGGAAGGCTGTGGTGATAACAAGGGGAGATGTGGTGCCCTTCGAAGGTGTGCGTGCTGTTTATTTTTTCATAGCCAGAAATTTTTATATCTGAGGTGTGTGCTTGTCACCAACCTCTTTTGTTCACGCGCCTCTAACCTTAAGTTATCACTTATTCCAGGGTACCCAAGGTCCAAAAGGGAATACCGGACCACCAGGAGCTAACGGACAGGCAGTGAGTTATGTTTTGCAATTTATTAATTTTACTCTTAAAATGACGTTTAGCAGTTAGGGGATCATACTTGCGTGTACTATACTACTTTCGGCTACAACTGAATAAAATGCACTGAAAAGATATAACGGTCATGCTGAGAGTTCGTGACAATATGGCGTGAAAAAAAAGTTAGTCCTGTAACGTGTGTTCAGAAAAGTTCAGAGGGGTTGTCAGACGGCTTAGGTTTTGAAAACAAAGAAAAGGTTGGGACGGTGTCGAGACAGTGTTTAAAATATTCTTTACGCTTCACAACATCTCGTACGGTGTTGAAGCTCTTTAAAGGTAGATAACGCCTTGAAACGATTTTATAAATTACTTCTACAACTACTACTACTACTACTACGATGACGACGACGACGACGACTAATATTAACAATTATAATGATTATAACATTGATAATGAAAGTGAAAAATAGTTTTCAAAGATCAGGACCACTTTAATTGACTGCCAATTACTGCAAACATAATGCGGAGTAGGCCTGCATTGTGAAAGCCACCAAATCACCTAGAGCCGGAATGTTACAGATTACAAATGTTGTTTTATCCATGGTTTAGGGCATCATCGGTGCACGTGGCGCTCCTGGTGCAAAGGGTGCGAAGGGAGAAAAGGTAACCAGTTTTATTTTAAACTTGAAATGTTATTTTCAATGATAATAGATCCTTCCATTGTATCAGTTTTGAACTTTTGACATGGACCAGTTAGTAAAAAAACTGTCAACACCGCTAAAAAGAGGGCCTAAAAAGAAGTAAAATTGCCAAGTTGGAGATTTATTTATTAGAAAAGAACGAAGATATGGCTTCGCAAAGGGACAATATTTTACAGACTTTTGTATGGTGTGGGTCGCCAACTGGCCTTTTACTCTACAAAGTCGGCAAAATTTTAATAGTGACTTTGGTGAGCTCTACCTTCACTCGCTTTAGACCTTTCACTTAAAAACTTGGCAACTTTACTCGCGTCTGGGCGCTCGTTTTAGCCCTCATCAAAACTTGAATAAAACAAAGGAAAGGGTCTAATATTCAGCCGGCCAAGAAAACCAAAGCCTTTCAAAACACTCATAGTTGCTATTTTATCTTATATTTTATCTTAAAGATTTGCTTGTTCTTATTCAATCTAAGAGAGTTTCCTCTAGGGGCGTTTACTGTTAGAGGATATTTTCAGTGCAGCTGAATGGTCTTTATGTGTGTGTAAAAACTGTTTCCTTTCTTGTCAAGCATTAAACTAAAATTGTTTGTTTGTTTTGTTAAGGGTAACCCCGGCTCGCTGGGAATTGCAGGCATAGCTGGTGCTCCTGGCCCCATTGTGAGTATAGTAAATATAAATGTACTTTAAGCTTATGTCAGAATCCAAGAAAAGATATTTTGATGGATACTTTTACCATTCCTTATTCTTGTTTACATCTGGTAACCAAAAAATGAAACCAAGAAAAGTCTCTCGCGAAATGCACATTTCAAGAGATTACTCGTTTCTATCGTTGTCATCTTTTTTGTCGATCGTTTACACTTATTTGTATACGCAGTGAACGTAAACCGCGAGTTCTATGCAATACATTATGTTTAATGGTATGTTGTTTTTGCGTCAATCTAAGACACTCTAAGTAAGTTTATCTCTCCCTTAAGGGTGCTACAGGTGAACAAGGGGATATAGGAGCCAATGGTGCGGCTGGAAGAAAGGTTTGGCAAAAACGTGTTTTTCTTAGTTCAGACCTTGAACTTCAATATTTTAAATGTTAGATTTCTTGATATAAACAAATGTCCTTAAGGTATAGACATGTGTTTCGTTATCATAAAAAGAAAATGAATTTTTGGTTCGGAAAATTAACTTGAATTTACAGAATAATTTTTTTCTAGCATTCGAATTCTTTAACAATTCATGAAGAGATAACGGTGGATATCTCTAGTCTGACGGTGAATTGGATGTATGATACAGGTTGACAAGCTGATTTAAAAATAGTTTGAGAATTGTTGAGAGATTGCGAAGGTTTATCAGCGTGTTTCTGTCTGGTACTGATCTAGCGTAATCCGTTTGAAAACTGGTTCATATTGGATCCTTTTCCACAACTTCTCTGTTATCGTTAAACCAAAAAATCCTTATCCATTTTATTTGAAGCACTATATATTTTTTTTTATTCACCTCTAGTTGGGGTGTTGTAGTCGTTATTCAAACACCGAGAAGTGATTAAACCGACTTCAACCAGTGCATGTGGATACCAGATAAAACACTCTTTCTTGTGTTTTATATAGCTTTTCAAGTAATCGATGATTGTTGACGAATTGTTAAGTAAACTTTGTAAAAATTCATGGATATTTCTCGAAACAAAATTGGTGAGATAATATGTTTGTTATGTGTAGGGAGAGGCAGGACAGCAGGGACCAGACGGCGAGCGAGGTCCAGCTGGAAAGGATGTAAGCACCTTTGATTTATCTTTTTTTTTTCAAAGTGGTGTTATTTATACTTTTTTCGGGTCACCATTGATACATGTTTAGTTCCATCAAGGCATGGGAGAGCGTCGGTCTGCTCAGCGGGAGGTCACGGGTTTGAACCCCGGTCGGACCAACACTCAGGGTCTTTAAATAGCTGAGAAGAAAAAGCTGCCTTTGTAATGACATCTGCAAACGGTTAGACTTTCTAGTCTTCTCGGATAAGGGCGAAAAACCGTAGGTCCCGTCTCAAGCACTTACACTTATCTGGTTCTTGTGGGACATAAAAGAACCCACATCACTGTTTGAAAAGAGTAGGGAACGTAGACCCCGGTGGTGTGGTCAACCTTCACACATCACATCATTCACATCATGGGTTGGGTGGGTATAGGAAGCTCATAAATGGACTGAGAGCGGCTGCCAGTGCGCCTTTGTGTGCTGACGTCCAAGCTTACTGTTCATATGTTAAAAAATGTATTATAAGAGGGCACGTCTGTTGTCCTCTCATCCACGACTCTTTATTCATTCATTAATTTTATGCGGCTTAAAAAACATGTGAGCTTCTTGTCAACAAACCTCCTAGTCTAAGGCAGCGGGAGTTAAAACAGAAACGCAAAGAAGAAGAAGCATCAGGTACTTTATTAAAAGATTTCCTGGGGTTTTGTACAAGGTTCAGGGGTAAAATTACTTTGTTGCTTGAGATATGTCATCATCATTTTGTCCGGCTGCCATCTTTGAGTTAAGCGTTTGCTGCAGACGTCTTTTGGCCTGTGCCTCCGTGAATATGGTGGTTATAGCAGTAAGCAGTGAATGGGAAAAAATGTTGTGATTTAGATGAAGGACGACAAAATATAAGCTCAAAAATTGAGCGTTTAGTGTTATTTTTCTAGGGTGCTCAAGGCGCTAAAGGAGTGCAAGGTCAGCCTGGAGTCAGAGGTCATAAGGTGAGTGCAATAGAACTTGAAAACGATTACCCGTTCAATACTTGGAGGTCAGTTTAAAAGAAATTCAAGGAAAGTGTCGAATTTCAGTAATTTTGTAAACGACGACAATTACCAACGGAGCTAATTTATTGTAAAGAGCGGGGGGTAGGATTTTAACCACAATGTGGAAAAGTACCATACGAAAGTACTACTTAGGAGGTCTGCATTTGGATAGTCATCAGTTCTACGGGATCTCATCTGCACGCTTAAAAGTTGGAACTACAAACTAAATAATGAAAGTCGTACTGCTGAAGGCGTTTCTTTGGAATGGTAATATACCTTAAGATTTAACCAGAGACTCAAGAGTTAGAACTGCACTCCAATCACTCCAATCCAAGCGCAAACGACGAAACAAGAAACACTGGGGCTAATGCTTTTAATGCATTTATCAGTTGAAAAATGAATATTTTCTTTGGACACGAACAAATACAAAACAAATTGGTCGCAACCCCACCCTCCTTAACCTGCTTTTACAATGAGTGTTGTTTACAAAGAACTGACGTTTTGTTCATCTCTGGTCTATCCCTCCTCTCCTGGTATTGAGAAGTGAAATGTTGTCGACATAACTATTTCGTTTCTTCAAGTATCCAATTCAAATTAAAAAGAGCAAACTGAATCGAAAGTATTACTCTTACTAATGCCATCTTTGCCCTTATCTAGGGAAATCGAGGCCCAATGGGAGAGCCTGGCGTTGCTGGACCAAAGGGACCAAAGGTTTGTCTAAGAATAAGGTTTTGTAAAGTGTTTGGGTTCCGTGAAGTGCTCCATTGCTAGATCTTGGGGATTTTGGGTGCTTGCTTGCGGTAGTTTCGTCTGCTAGTCCTCTTTTATAGGCCTTTACTGCAATGACCCAATAATATTTGTTGATATTTTGTTAGGGTGATATTGGGGAAGAAGGACCACGAGGGCCGCGAGGTCTTAAAGGATCCAGGGTGAGGAAGTACACTTTCTTATAACTGTCTTTTAGTCAACTGTTCCAGTGACGGCAATATCAGGTAATATCTCTTCTTCAGTAGAATGGCAGTATAAGCAATATTGTTTCTTTTACGTAACAACTATCGTCAAATTCTAACACAACAACATGCAAAAAGGTTTTCTACAATGTCATTTTAAAATGTTTTCAAAACCATTCATTGTCACTTTTGAAGAGTTAAAAACAAACAAAAGCGTTTTTTTAAAGTGAGCCGGAGGTTCTTCCTTGTTTTGAACTGAACTACAGATTCTCGAAGAGACATAAAACCTCTTTCACTCGCGACAACCAGAAAACAAGAAAATCCTGTGAACACGGCCCAGAAAATGACAATCCAAAGTTCAACCAAACAAAACGGAGAAGCGACAACGGAGGAAGTGCCGGGGTCGATTGTCCCATATACAGAAGAAGAAATAAATACCTTCAAAGAGGACATGGCCCCTGAAAACACGAAAAAGAGTACGCCGCTTGCAATCGTCCTGAATCGTGGTACTTAGAAAAGTATAAAACAGAGCTGAACTTGAACAGCATTTCTAAAACATTTCAAAGGTACTTACCTTATGTCAATCGCGACGTTAAACATGTTAAACTTTCAGTGCTTTCGCTTGGACACTTGATTTTTTCTGGAGCGCGCGCTCAGGATAAAAACAAACAATAGATATTATTGCTGTTTTCTTTTTTTTTCTTCTGATTTTTATTCAATTATGCGATTCAAGGAAAATTCATTACCTGACTCGAGAATTCCACGTTAAATTGGCGATGTATCTTCTCTTTAGAATAGCAATATCAGGTAACGTATGTTCTCCGATTTGTAATATCAGGCAATAGTCTCTTTTTTGAATAATAATATTGGGCAATGTCTCTACTTAGAACGGGAAAAATCATTCAATATCTCTCCTCTTCTTAGAACGATAATATTAGGCAATGTCTTTTTGTTGATAAAAGGTTTATCTTGTAAGTCAAGAACAACTTGGCCATGGAGACGACAAGATCTGTTCTTAGAACAGCAATGTCAGACAAGGTCCTTTCTAAAAATAGCAATATCAGGGCTTTTCAGAGGGGCAATATCAAGCAATGTCTCCTCTAAGGATAGCAATAACGAATAAAATCTCATTTTGAAACGGCAATATCAGGAAATGTCTCTTCTTGGAACGTGAAAATTGTAAGTCTTCTTTTACAGGGCGTCAAAGGTGAAGTGGGTCCCCCTGGTCTCCCTGGTATTCAGGGACTTCAGGTAAGCAAGATTATTATAAATATTATTTACAACCACAAGCATATTCTGCTGATAATTCCTGATTACTAAAAGGAACAAATCACTGGTCTGATACTATAATAAACTCATTACGACGTCACCTTGAGATAAAGGGCAACAGTTCATATTGTAGAAATGAATTTAGGACAATAATAAAATGCAGGTATATCATGTGGTTGAAATGGCTCAAAAAAACTTATGTGTCTTTTACATCTTTCTTTCAGGGCAGATCTGGAGAAACTGTAAGTATAATTCAAGTTTGTACTCAAAGGCTCGTTACTTGTTTGGTAGAACCCTGTAATTGCTATTCCTTTAACATATACTGTTCACTCAGTCTTAACGTTTTTCGCTGCAATCTTCGCAGAATAAAAAGGAATAGCAAACCTCCATCCCCCGCAGATGAAGCCGCGCGCGCGAAGGCCAAAAGCGCCATTTTCCTTTCCTTGATTTTTATTTATTTTATGTATCTACTTATCATTGTTTTTTTTTTTTGGTGGTGGGGGGGGGGGGGGGGTTGGGGTCTAAATTTTCCATCTATTTTGTCCAAGATTGTAGTAACATCAGTAAGCTAGGACTGCGCAAAGGAAAGGGTCACAAAACAGAAACGGCACGCTTTTGTGTAACGCCCAACTTACAAAGTTATTACAGAGACATGCAGCGGCAAGTTGTTAAGTGTTGGATGAATTAATTGATGTTACCACTCGAATGAAATCTACTCGTTTTGTAGAACTTTTAGTGTAACGAAGATTTTTAGTTGTAGTATTTTTGGAAATTGATTAAGAAAAACAAAGCAACAAAAAAAGCGTAATGTGGCCGTTTTTAATTGTACCTTTGGTAGTGTTTAGGCTGGGTTTAACGATTTTTTTCTCGCTGTCTTCTTTTTCTCTTTGCCTTTGCCAGTTTTACTGCCCAGTTTGTCGTCTTTCTTTCTTTTTACTGGCTTGTTTCCAACAAAGGGACAAATTTAATCTGTAAAGAGCAGTAGGTAAATAGCAAAATTGGCAGTGGATTTGTCCCAAAACGTTGCTTGATTGTTTGTCTGTAACTCTGTCAGGATTGGTCAAAATTTGGTAAACGAGGCACCAGTGGAAAGAACTATTCTCGTCAATTTTGCTAATTACCATCTTAATTGCTTAAATGGAAAGCTTAATCGGTCCAGGAAGAAAATATGCATGGGTCCAGATGGACCAAAAACAACCAAAGCGGACGTCAAATAGATTTGTTAATAAGTCAGTTTGTTAGATGTATCTCGTGTGACAGAATTATTGGTCGGTGCGAAAATTAAACACCGTTCACGTCTAACTCGAGATCTTAACCTCCAGTTAGGCTCCCACACCAATTCTTGCATGTGCTTACCATGTTTATCGATTATCTCTTTTTCCTCTTTAGGGTTCCAAAGGACCTGGCGTAAGTATGGACTGATTTGTGTCACAAAATTTACAAGAAATAAGTCAGTGGTGACTTATTCTCTAAATGCTTTCTGGCGATTTAATGAACTCGGTATAACGTCGATTCGTTTCAGTTACTTTGGTATGCACATCAGATTCATGCCCCACTAATCACCTCTGCCTCCTGCGTCCCTGACGCGTGAAAATCCCCTAAGACGTAAAATAATTTATGGTATGCGTCCCGTAGGACGCAAAAATCGATTGATCGATCTGAAGATGTTTTTGTAGATTATCCCATTTGCGTGATTTCTGTGGCTGTTCTTGTGGCTGTTGTTTAACGGTGCATATTTCTTTTAGTCTTTGTTGTGCTTGACTATAAAAGGTATATTTTTATTTAAGTAAACTGTAATACAGAGTTTTGAAGTCTGTCTTTAGATTAACTGTGTGGTTACAGAGACTCAGGGACTCGTGTTTTTGAATTGAGACTCAATGGTTCTGGACTGGACTCATGATTTTTTGCAAGATGAGTCCCAGGACGCACCATAACTATTTGTAACAAAATCACTGACTAATGTCTTTTTTCCCCTTCGTTATTCTCAACATTCGGTTTAATGTTGGTGCTCGTTTTCAGTTTTCTTCTTGCCCATTACCTTTTGGACGCTACAAAATCAACCCTTAGTTAAAATTCCTTATTCCTTATAATTTTTGTTTTTACACCTTTGTTGTTTACAGGGAGAACAAGGGCCAAAGGCAAGTTATCTTTAAATTAATTGATTTATTGTCAAATTTAACACTGAGTAATTGCAAGTCTTAACTTATTTTTCTCCGTGTTCTTTTATCATTTGCTTATTTATTTTTATGTTTCAATAGGGAAGAGCTGGTGCACCTGTGAGTATCGTTTTTTTTTTTTGATTTGTTTCATTTGTTTTGCTTTAACGTGTTCGCTAAGCACTGTAAATTATGTACACGTTTGTGCAGTGAAACCACTCGCCTGTGGCTCGTGGTTCCACTCGAGTTTTGAACATTTTATGACGTCATTTCTATGATCTATAAGAGTGTAGGCCATGGAAAATTGTGGTCGATTTGTTAACAGTACAACATCAGGGGTCAAGTGTAGCTATTGTTTTCTGACTCTAAAACAATGCTTGTTAATGACACGTGTAGAAGTTTTATTAAATTGACCCCGGATCTGTTGTTAAAAATAGTTGCAGGCTTGCAGCAACTTTATTTATTTCCTCAAAATCTTGGTTACACTGAAGATAAATAAAACACAACCCGCAAGTACCAAAGGCTAATCGAGGCGGGTTGTGTAAAATAAATTAATAATCGAATAAATAAAATTATTATTCATTCAAAATATTTCTCTTATTCTGATTGGCTCGAAGCACACGCATAATTCACCGTAACCAGTTGCTGATGACCAAATTTGAAAGAATTTTGTGTTTAGCTAGGAAATGACGTCAAAAATGCAGCGAGAGCCTCTAAGTCCCCTTATTTCACGTCATACTTCAGGTTCCCTGAATACTACTTCTAATCTAATGAGCGTGTTTACTTCACTTTAATTAGTAAAATGGATAACTGGTATTAGTAGCCACAGGCGCTTATTAACTTTTTAGATTTCTCGGTGCGATTGTTATTTGAAGGCTGTGCTACTTTGGGGGCAGCCAATTTTGTAGCTTTTTTTAATCTTGCTTTGATAAACAAGGAAAAAACAGACAGAGAAAAAAAGATATTTTAAGGGCTGTTCCTGATTCTCATCAATTATATCAGCATTAACAAATGTTAAAAGATCATTAAAAATTAACAGGCGCGACATTGTTGCTGGGAGAGAGCGGCGCTGATTTTAGTAAAAACAGTACCGTTATATCGTCGTGTGAAACTAAAGCTATCTCTACTTTTTCTGTCTCTTAGGGTCCACCCGGCTCAACAGGCGAACCAGGATCGGTAAGTTATAAAAGAGTGCACGATAGAGCAGCTGTTTTAAGCAGGGAAACTGTGAACAACTTGTTAACACTGAATCTAGGGATGCATTCTTTTTGACGTTACTACACCAATCTTTTTAAGACAAATTTGATGTAATATATTAAGCATAAGACGCAGTGTTTCATCACCAGATGAAACACTGCACTGAGAAGAGAGTTGAAAATACGACTCGCTGCGGAATATTTTTGACGAACTTCAAGGCGTTTCATCTGGTGATGAAACACTGTGTCGAATGCTTGATATTACTTCTCAAACAAAATGATTTGAGGAGACATTAAGGATGCAAAAATGAGCAGTTTTTCATCAGACTTCCAAACACTCATTAAACTTTAATTTTCTTTGTATTTTCTATGTGAATTATTAATGAGTTTGAAAAGGTGATATTCTTTCTTTTCTACTTAGCAATTTGATAAAAGCAAAACCATCGCTAAAAACAACAACGGATTAATATAGGACAGCTTCAGTCCTTATCAGAACGTAACACTAAGTTAAGAAGCCCAGACTGATTGAGTAACGCCATTTCCGAGTTATGCCAAGCCTCTGTTTCAAAGCGAGGCTAAGTGTAAAATTATTGTAGAATCATGCAAACAAAACTCATTTTGAGAAGAAAGCTTTTCCGTTGAGCCTCGCTTTGAAAGCGAGAGTTTTAGTCCTCGGAAATGGCCTATTTGCCTAAAAAATGCAAAATGGAAGAAACAATTTTTGAAGACAATGTTTAGAATGACGTAACTGGGGTCTCTCTAGGTTTTATGTAGCAGCTTTAGTTTTGAATGAGACGCCTGTCCATTGTAAGAGTTCAACACTGAGTATGGCGTACTATCTACTATTTACGCTTTCTTTCTCTTTTGTCTTGTAGATTGGCAGCCTCTTTGTAAGTCCTTCAATAATAATAATATGGCAAGCAGTAGTTGTATTAGGAGGGGACAGAAAGCAGTGAAATGCAACTTTCAACAGAAAAAAATAAACTATTAAAGTACTTAAAGTGGAAATCTTTACTGCTAAGATGAGAGCCTTGTGGTTATTCTGATTGATTGATTGATTGATTGATTGTATTATTATAATTTATTTATTTATTTTATTCGTTCTTAATTTCGTTTTGTTCGTTCGTTCGGTCATCACCCACCCATCCATCCATTCGTCCGGTTGTCTGGTCGTTTGTGCGTTTGCCTATTCATTTTTTCTTTCATGCAATCATTCATTGGTTGATTGATTGAATTAATTAATTCATTCACTCATTCATTCATTTTATCTATTTAGTCAAAGTGTTTTTATATTTATCTATTAATTAGTTTATTTATTTATGTGCATACAAGACTATTAAGACGTATTCAAATTTTCTTTCTCGTTATGGCAGGGCTCTGCTTCAAGAAGAAGACGACGGTCCGTTTCTAACGACGCTGAAGATCAAGTAAGTTTGAATGTTCACAAATTTCTTCTGAAAATGCCGACTTTTCGAAGGTCTCATATTTACCAATACAAGGCCTAGGCTGTTAGGAAATCATGTTTGTCTTATTAATTCAACCCTTCCCTCCGAGTGGCGGTCTAAAACGCCGTCCCAGAACTCCATGATATCTGAGGAATCCGTTAATGAGCAGTTGTCAATATTATGTTGACGAGCTGTGGAGTGATATATATGTTGCTCTCATATTAAGAGAGGAAATTTCACGTGTGTTTGCTTCTTTCCGGCGGCCACATTGGTTTCCCCCCTCTCTCTCCTCTCTCAAACGGACGTAACATTGTTGGCCAACAACTCCCAACATTGTTGGATGTTACATGTTGCGTCCGTTTGCACACCCTGTTGTATGTTGTTGGATGTTGTTGCGCAAAGTTTGAAACCGGTCAAACTTTTCAGCCAACAACTCCCAACATTTCTTTTGTTCCGTGATTGCCGAAGCGTAGCGCAACAATGTTGGATCCGTTTGCACAGCTCTTCCAACATTGTTGGGGCCACGCAAGCTCATTACGCATGGTTTGCAAAGACTTATGAGTTGTATCCTTCCCACGATGCACTGCAGGTCCCAACATTGTTGGGAGTTGTTGCATTCGTTTGGACACCACTGCCAACACCCACGCAACAACTCCCAACTTTGTTGGCGCAACAATGTTGGGAGTTGCTGCGTCCGTTTGCACGCAGCCTTAGATTATAGGCGGATCCCTGTTGACGTCATTGTTTACATTATTTTTTGCTCTTTGGGATACAAGTTAACCCATAGAAAAAGTCGCCTTTTATACAAATAAGGTTCAAAAGTTGAAAGAGCTGGTTCAGTAATTTGTGTAGTTTGTGGAATTTACTGCTCTTTACATTAAATAACAAAGGAACTATAGGCAATCAAAATCTGCGAAGTTGCTGGTTGGCAAACTGAACCTTAAGGAGCTCGAACATTCCTTGTCGAGCTTTTCAAAGAGAATTTCTCTGAAACTATTCGCTATATCGGGCTAATATTTTCAGATATAACAGAAGTTGTTATGCTCTTTCAATATTCGGAGTTTTATTTTTTTAGCTTCATCAGATAATGATAAGCATATGTTAATCAGGCTAATAATGTAAACAAGGATTCGCATATTTAGAACCACAATAACACTCGCTGAACACTCAAGGGAGTGATAAACTTACCATTACTTTTTATCTTAAATTAACTTCAATTCTTTATTCTCATTGCTTAGTTGGTTTATCGTTTCCTGGTTGTTTTCGCATTGGAAGTCCTCAAGATGCTTAAAGACCTAGAAACACATCGTGTTGTTTTTTAGTAGTGATGTTCTATTACCACTGATTTATCGTCTTCTGTTTGTTTTCGTAAGTTTGTAGAGCTCACTGTGGGTGTATTGGAAGTCCTGAAGATGCTTAAAGACCTAGAAACACCTCGTGGTGATTCAATGACAAATTCAGCAAGAACCTGTCGTGAAATTATGCTCCTGAATGATTCGCTTCCTGACGGTAATAAGGGCTAGTGAAAAAATCAATTAAAAGTCCTTAGTTTAAGCAGTCAGCCAAATATCTCAGGTGTTTAGGTGGTTGAGTGATTTATCCAGCGGACTGTGGATCAAGACGAGGACCCGGTAGGGTCGAATCTGAGAGCTGCGTCGCCGTTTTAAACAAGAAACTTTTCAGCGCTTTTTTTAACCCTTCAGGGGCCCGTTTCTCGAAAGTCCCGGTAATTTTTGCGGCCCTTAAAACTGTTTTATGTTTGCCGTGTTTGCATTCAAGATCAAAGTTTCTATAATTTTGAAAATGAAAATAATCAGTTAACAAAGCAAAATTGACCGGATTGTGAGCTAGCAACTGTGCTACTATTCAACATGTTTTGAGTTTAAAATTTGCCTTAGAGCCTGAAAAGTTGTACCAGGCCCTTCGAGAAACCCTAGCCCTGGTTGTTAAAACTTTGAACAGCTCTATCCACCGCTTAAATCACTATCCTACGGATAAGTATTAGAGAAACCAATTGCGTTACCCCTGTGTAGTGATTTATCCGGTGAAGAGCGTTATCCACCCCTTTGGATAACTAGCACCAGGTGTATGGATAAGAATTGGCGGCTTACCACTGAGGAAACCCTACCTCGGATGGCGTAGCGTCCCATCTAGGGTCTGTTGTTGTATTCTTACGGATACTTCCTGCGACTGATGAAACTGGAATAATCCCAGTCGGGCCTCGTCTTGCTTCGGTATGTTTGTGTCATTTAGTGAAATCCAATTAGTGGTCTATTATCAATGCTGCGTTCTGATTGGTTGAGCTACTACTAGGCTATATGCTATAGCCTACTAGTAGCAAAAAGCGCGGGCTTTTTGGCGGCAAAAAAGGATTAAAGTGTAGCTTTAACTAGCTAAAATTTTTTTCGTCTCGATATTTTTGACCAACTAGTTGGATTTTACTAAAACAATTATTCCTCTCACCCTCATGGCCTCTGAGTCAATAGCCCATTCGTCCTTCGGCCTCATGGGCTATTGACTCAGAGCCCATGAGGGCGAGAGGAATAATTGTAAAATATCCGTACGAACCTCCACTAAAAAAAAATGGGAAAAACAAACAAACTACCGTGACTTTGGACACATTTCTTTCACTTTCAGGCAAGTATTGGCTTGATCCAAATGGAGGATGTTCAGAAGACGCTTTTCAGGCAGAGTGCAAGTTCACTAAAGGAGGACAAACATGTGTTTATCCAAAGCAACAGCAGGTTGACTATTTATGATCCAATCTTCTTTGCATTTCGGTCTAGCTTGTTTAGAGTGATTTTAAAATCCGTGAAACAGTATATGACGATAGGTAAAAAAAAACACTGAAATTAGAGCACTGCGTATTAGTCTACTATCTATTTCACTGCTTAAGGAAAATCACTCTTAATGGCTTATCTTATCACCTAAAGGCGTGAATATAACAGCAATATTTTCCATTGAGATGAATAGGGCGCTAACTCACGCCACTATCAATAGTAAATAAGAGTAACAAAGCCGTTGAAGAAAGGTGGCCAATTACGGTACACTTCAAAAGGGTTCTTTTTTTTTCTTTTCTTTTTATTCACCTCTTGCTCACCAATTTTTTTTATAACGTTATTTCACATTTTCAGGGTGATGTTTTGAAGGAGACTGCAAAGGTACATTTTTTCTAGATATTTTCAGCAATAATTTGAAGACTAATATTTGTTACAATTTCGAGCCAAAGTGTATCGGAGGGGAAAATTCTCACTAATCCCAAACGCTTGGAACAGAAGAATAACGTCATGAAGGTGATGCAAAATAATGTCGTGAAAGCGATCAATATGTCTCCAGTTTTTCCTTTCAAAGAGAGTGGGTACGATACAGTGATCCCAGGACAGAGTCGCCCAGCCGAGTCAACTGGGGCGAGCGTATTCGCCACTTTGAGGTTGCGCGGGAGACCGGGTCAAGATGGTTGTCAAAGTGCATTGTGGGACTGTTTTGGGAGACGCATTTTCAACATGGCGGCAATTTTGTCCCCAAAACAGTCCCACAATGCACTTTGACAACCATCTCGATCCGGTCTCCCGGGCAACTTCAAAGTGGCGAATATATGAGAAAAAATGTTGACCCTTTGACCGAATCAACAGCACTCGGGCGTGCTCTGATTGTCTAAAACATCGCCAGTGCATGCTCTGATTGACTTGCCTTGAACGAGTTGATCCGGCTTAGCGAGCCAAAGTGTTTAAAGAAAAACGTTTGCCCGGCTAGGAGGGTGAAGCCTACCATCGAAAAAGGGTGACCCGACTAGGCGATGCAGAGATCTCTCACGCACAGTTGATATCTCTCATCTTCTGAATAACAAGAAGAAAAACCGCGTTTTAAATGGCATTTGTGTATCGTTTCTATTTTTTTTTACGTATATTTTATTAATCTCTTGCTCTGTTGTAGTTTTCCTACGAGGCCAGTCCCACGCAGTTCAAGTTCCTTCGTCTTTTGAGCAAGAAAGGCGTCCAGAAAGTCTCTCATGAATGCGTCGACTTTAAAAATGACTTAACAATATCGAGTTTTACCGGGCAAAAGATTTCCACGGAACACTCCAAGTGTAAGGTAAGCACATGCGCAAAAGTTGAAGCCGGTTTCATGTAAAGATTCCTTACCTCTACCTTTGTGTTCCCCAAAGATGGGAATGTGCTTTCAAATAAGAAGCCTTTATTTGCGGACTTTTTTCGGTCCATTAGGTCGGCCTTCGCTTTTCCTTATTTAGGGATTGAAATTTCTTATAGTAATACTAGACAGCTTTAGATTCGAGGACGAGGACGACTATGAAGACGAGATTTGACATAAGTTTTTTTCGCGTATTCTAAAACAATAAACAAACCCGGAAAGTTTCATTTTACTTTTTTCACCAAAATTGTTGGCAGGGTTATTTCTGTTTAAGGAGGTTAAGCCCTTTTCGTATCGCAAAATGATAAACCTTGTAACATTTGATAACTTGCGTCCGTCACTATGACAATCATTTTCGCTAAAACCCATAGTAGAATAGACCTCTTTAGGTTGTATGTTTTGTTTTCCCAATAACAGGTCATGTGATAATACCCTAGAGAACTGTTTCTTTCAAATTTCGTCTCATTCACGTGCATATCTACGCATAAATTGTGAGAAGACAAAGGGTTAAGTTCCTGAGACCTCTATTAGGAAAACAAAACATACAAGCTAAAAAGGCCTATTCCGCCGGCGGCTATCGCGTCAGTTTTCCCGTCAAAATGACGCGGTATCACGCGCCCGCACTACATAGTATTGAAAAAATTGTTCCCGTTGTCGTCCTAGTCGTAGATTCTAAGGGACTCTTCCTTAATTTCCTGGTAAATTTACATTCCTTTTTTTTCAGCGCGGCCAGAGACAAGTGCACGCCATCGACAAAAAGGAATTGCTACCGCTGAAAGACGTCTCCACCTTGAACCAACAGCCAATAAGATTCAAGCTCGGTCCGGTCTGTTTTCAATAATTTAACCATTCAGTTATAACATTATGTTGCTTTAGAATTATAAATACATTTTGTAAGAACAGGATTAATATATGGTATATTAGAAAGCGAGAAGTGAAAAAGAAAGGACTCACAGTTTCGTCCCTTTTTGTGTTGGCATAGATATATTTTACTTCTATAAAAGTAGGCTTGTTCGCATGTTAAAAAAGCAGACTTTTAACATGCTAAAAAATATCTGTATTATCATTTTTTATACTTTTAGAGTAATGTTTAAATTTTGTTGCCTTTCCGTATGTGTAGGACGGTTTATAAAATTAAACTCACTACAGTGAAACCTCTATTCACCTCTACTCAAGGGAAAAAAAATTTGGTCCCGGAAAAATGTTCACATAATCTTTGTATCTTTTACCTCTATTCAGGTACCCTGCGAGCAGAGGCTACATTTTCGCTGTGTGAGCTGGCGTGCGAAAAGTAGCCTCTGCCGACAACCGTGCAATTTTCTTTCGTGCATGCGCGAAATTCCTCACTCGATTCGCAAGGAAAGTTAATCGTCAGGTCTGTTGTCAAATGGCGCGAGTTTCGCGGGAATAAAAAAATTGCGACAACTCTGATCTGCTACGCAGATATCTGGACGGATTTGAACGGTTTTCGGCAGAGGCTACCTTTCGCACTCCAGCTCACATAGCGAAAATGTAGCCGCTGCTGGCAGCGCACTATTCAGGGGACAGGGACACTTTTTCTATGCCCCCAAACACAGGTTTAACCTCCACTCAGTTGACGCATTAGTACTGCAAACGTGACTGACCACAGAAATGATTGTTTAGTAAGTTAAAGTGTACTACTACACTGGTCACAATGAAGACAGCTTTTACAACATGGGAAATCAACAGGTAATAACACGGAGAAATGTTAATCGCAATTATTTATACATTATCTAGCTGCTTAAAATCATAACTGCAGCAGATTCCGAGGCAGAATAAAACAAAATGTTTTCTTTGTTGGTTAATTATTAACAAACCTCGGCCCAACCTCTATTCAAGAGACACCTTTATTCAGGGGACACTTTCCTCGGTCCCGAGGGTGTCATCTAGTCAACCCAAACCCCACCGTGAAACAACTTAAATTTGAATTTAAATAATTAATTAATTATCCTCTCCCTTTATGAAAAATATAAATCAAACGTGTGTTTTAACCTCAAATATCGTAAATCGCCACGTTGTCTCGTTCGTTAAAAATTAAACCGAGTTGCTGTGGGGACGAGAATGCATCGATCACGTGACAATAGTGACGATGGCGCGCGCAGATCTAAAATCCTGCTTGACCAATGGCAGTGCGCCAAACTGAATACCTGAAGTGGAGTTCAGTCCTTTTCGCGCGCTTTTCTCATTTGACGTTGTAATCTGCCTTGTGTGATAAGCGACTATTGCCTGGTGGGGGCAAAAGAACCATAAATCATTCAACTACGTTGAATGCTACGACCCTTAAAGCATGGACGTTCTTTCATGTTCTTTCTTTTTCAATCTTCTTTATCCTTAAGCCTTACATTTTTTTAGCACAGCTTCACAGAGTCACTTGTCTACTTTTTGAAGAGCAGTACAATCTTGAGTTAGGAAACAACTTTGCAAATTAACTGGGGCATTGTTTAGTAAAATCGGTGGACATCTAGTCAACCCAAACCCCACCGTTAGACAACTTAAATTTCAGTTTAAATAGTTAATTAATTCTCTCCCCTAATGGGGCTTTTCAGGGATAATGAGAAAAAATGATTTAAATTGATCATAACAAAGTTAAGAATCCCAACTGGCAGAAGGCAAACCAGCTGGCTATTTACAAGCGTGGCCGAGGATTTGAACTCGGAACTACCGAGAACAAATCCAGCTAGCGGGCAGAGGGGGACTTGAACTCGGGGCCTCTGAATTGCAGGTCCAGCGCTCTGGCCACTCAACTATGCTGCCTTCATTAGGGTCATTTATAGAGAAATACATAACATTATAAAAATAACCAATGCCTTTATACTTTCTTAAAGTGAGATCTCTTGAAATGGTAAAATAAAGGCAAAGCCACACCCAGAATGGTCTTCCTCTCCCAGGACGTAAACTGGATTACACTAACATTATTAACGTGGGCGAAACACTTAGAATGGTTTTAAAATGGAAAGAAGGAAAATATCATAGAATAAAAAATATAAAATATCTAGCATCTAAAATTACAAAATTAGATAACTAAAATTGAATGTTCCTCACTTGTTTGTTAAATTCTAGTTAATCCCAACTTTGGTTCCATTGTTTTGAGGCAAACCATCTGAAGTTTAATCCATATTGTAGTATTTACTTTTTTGGCAGTGATAGCGTGGCCCAGGATTTTAACTTCCTTAATGCAAGTGGGGGCAGTGCCTTGAAAACAAGGACTGTCCTGGAAGAACAAACCTCCAGCAGTTCATAATAAGTCATTATTAGAATGGTTTTGAACTCTCTGAATAACAAACAAGGTCTCCGGAAACCAGTTACAAGTCCATCGAACTATATATTAGACCTGAACTCGGGGTTTTAGATTCGATTAGTTTAGATTCGAGTTTACCGCGAACCTCTAACCGCGGTTTGCGGTTACCCGTTTGCGGTTCGACGTTCAAACATAATTCGATTTAGATTGGCGTTGGATTAGATTACTGCCGCCATTTTGAATCAGCAGCCATGAATGGCACTTGTTTTCAAGATCAAATAGGATTTATCAAATTCAGCATTTTGCCCGAATTTGTGCCTCTGTTAATGGATAAAGACTTGCTCCACAGGATTTTTGTATCATCACGTGGGATAAACGTGAATTATACGCTAAAAGCTCTCAGGTAAATCACATACGTGAAAACCTACGTCCCCACGTTGAAAACGCACGTCGTAAACCTCAAACGTGACGCGAAAGACTTGTCGCGTGACCTCCAGCGGTTAGAGGTTCGCGGTAAACTCGTATCGAAAAGCAATAGAAAACGTTTTCTGTGTTTGCATAGCCTGATATAAACACGAGAGGGGTTGGGAGAATTCGAGACAGTAGGGAGTTTAAGATACGGAGACTACGGACTACGAACTACGGCTGGACGAGCGTTGTCCTTCGTTTGTAGCACTTGGTTGAGTCGTGCAAATATAGAACGTTAAGATTGCACTACGGCAGGCAGTAGACTACGAGAGAAGAAGCGGAGTGGGAAACAACACGCAAAGATTTTCTTGTTTTCATCACAGTTCACAAAAATGCAAGTCACTTTTGCATGTGATCTTATCTTTAGAACAATGAACAATTTCTTCCATACTTGAAGGAAGCAATTACACGTAATTACTTTGGGTGAAATTGATGAACAAAGTTTTGGTTACACAGGTTTAATTTTTTTCGCCCATGAATACTTATGTCAAATAATAAAGAAATAGACAGAAATAGTAATAGCTCATTTATTATATTTGGAAGGTGGATTTCTCCGACTACTGATTTGATGTAGTTTGAAGTATTGAAATGCCGATTTTCGATTGTCTCGAAGATGTTTACATCATTTTCATTCAGCAAATGCGATACAAAAACTCGCATAAACAAAGGTTACACAAGTAGAAAGATACACTAACCAGTTCGAACAAACAATGAAACTTTTCAAGTGCGAAGAGAAAGTAAATTACCTACATGATTTCTCTTCTCCTCGGCCGTCAATCTGAAGCTTACTTAAATGTGAGCTTAGCTAGATAAAAATTTAGTCACAACAGTGGATTAAAAGCGTAAATCTGTGCAGAAATTAGACACAACTTACATATTTCGCTTTCCTCTCACTTAAAGCAGGTGAATTGAAAACTTTTTTACGAAAAGACGAGATTCTTGAATTACCGAGACGGCAAAATACGAGCAAAATGTTCTCCGTAGTCCTGACTACGCGAAACAGCTCAACAACTCACCGTAGCCGCAGGGCTACGCGGGAAAAATGAACAGTCACGTGGTTTTGATCATGCGCAGTAGTATGTTTATCCGTAGCCGTAGTCCGTAGTCGCCGTATCTTAAGAGCACATGACTGTAAATATCGAGAATCGCTGGCCAAGCTAAAAAAAACGAAAATTCTGATAATTTGTCAGAAAAACCCCTTTGGGGAACTATCTTCGAAAAAAATATTTTCAACTTTCAAGAATCTATAGTTTTCGAGAAAATGAGGAAAAACGAAAATAGCGGTTTTTGCCTAATTAATTATGCAAAAATTAGAGTAAAAATGACCTACTTCATCGCGTCTGTACCGAGGCAAGATTCAAAGCTATAAAACAGAAATATTTTTGTTTAAAATAATTCTATCTGTTCTTTCTATCCATGGTATGTTTTAAGCCATAAACATGATTTTGAATTTTTTATGGTTTTTTAAAAACTACCATCAATGGCACTTTTTAAAACGGCTAAAAATGAACAACTTCAGAGGCAAAAAAACTCACCCTGGTATGTGTGATACCTAGCCAAAATGTATACTAGGACAAAGTTCAGCTCTTATATTAACAGAATATGAAATAACAAATCTGGGTACTCCGGATTCGCCTTTACAAAATAAAAAGTTTCGTGACCACCAGTGGAAAAATGTCACAAATTTGCATAAGTCAAATTTGTAGAGAAATGTTGCGGCAGCCGGGTTTTGTTTCAATTCAGGGTCAGTATGTAATGTTCGGAAACATCACGAAGTAAGAAAACGTTTTTTGATAACGTTTATGTTAAAATATCAGAGTAATTAACCGTTCACAAAAAAATAATAATAAAAAACGACCTCGAAGAAGCGTTATATAAAAGCGCCGAATTATTATGTAAACTATATCCCATGTCTCTCGTTTCGTTTCCTAACTTCCTTGTATTATTAGCATCCATCTGTATCATCGTAAATTCGACTCCGGTATATCTAAAATAGGTAGGTACATTTTCCTTGAAATTTTATTTTGAAGGAGGTTTTTTGCGAACGGGATACACTGCGTGAGAGTAAGCCATAAACAAACAGTTGGAGTAACAATGTCACGCAACGACGTCTCGAGCAGCTCCGCCTTCTTTTACTGATTTTTTTCTCCTTATGAAATTTTATGGAAACTTTGTTTTGAACAGACAATGCGTTGTTCGCAACATCATTTGTTTCTCAGTAGTTTATTTTATTTTCAGAAAGAAGGGATACTAACTTTGCATGAGAGAAGCCGGGGTCCGGGCCTGTCAGTCACGCACTAAAAGATAGCATTTTCTTGTCAGAAATGTTGAAATCTGATTTTTTTACTACGTATTACAAACAACAAACCGTCCCTTGGTTAATTTCTCTACTTTTTCACAAATAGAGGTATAATTAGGCAGCTACCAAAGGCCCTAGGAAACAGCTAAGTAATCGTAGTTCATACGGTCCAGCGGTTTCTCTCCTCCGAAACGAATCCGAAACACCTTTCCCGCAAAAAC